ACGATTCAGGAGTGTGTTGTGGATGTCTTCGTGAACCTGACTGTAGATTTGGTCTTTCGTTTTCAAGCCGTCCAAGTATTCTGTTAAAGTAGACGTGACACAAAATTAGTGTTTATCTAAAATACTGTGGTTTTAGCACAAAATCAAAAGTCTGAAGGACGTATACCGTACCGATCGGCAAACCACAGTTCTCCATGTCACCTCTGTGTTTCAGGTACATGGGCCACACGTGACCGTCAAAGAGCCCGGGAGGGTCGGGGACGGTGTATTGCCTTGTTCTGAAATAAATAATACAAATTTATTTCAGCTGCTCATATTTAGCACAAATCATGAGTGTATGATTGCAATTTCAATACACCTTCTCCTTGACTTGCACTCCTCGTATGGGATGGTTATGTAATATGATTTGTCAAAGAATTCCAGCAACGGCCTGTTTGGAGAAGAAAAAAGATAAAAAGGTCATAACCTTAAAAAGAACACCGTCTCTGAAACTACGAGTGAAGTCTGATTACAGCACTTCTACATAGCCGGCTCAGAAATCAGCACATGCAGTTCCATGTGCCCACCAATAGCTCAGCGCATCTCCTTATCTACACCAATGCAGAGCGTCACATGAACAGCATGTATGCCCCGATGGTCCCTTCCTATATGTTCAGTACATGCTACCAAACTTTCCCAGAAACTAATCTTTGCCATTCATGCAGTTCAGCCCACCAAAAGTTAAATATGTCGCTCACTTGTAGTTGTACAGCAGAAACCCTTCTACGATGAGTATGTGCACTTGGCTCTCAGGGTCGTCCATTTCCGTGGCTGGGGTCACCTGGATGCCGTGAGAACGGGCAAATTTGATTGGGTTTTCCATCCAGCCCTTGACGGTGTTCACCATGGCCTCCATATCCAAAGCTGTGATCACTACAAAAGCAGAACACAGGCTTTTAGCACAAGATTGAAACTCGAAAATGGAAGTTGATTTTTTTTATTCACTTGTAGCAAAGCCACACAGAGAATGTAAATGGGTTGGGAGGGATCGTAAAGTCTTTGTTATGGGAGGGCGATGCGTAGAATGAGGAGTTATTACTCTCCTACTGTTTATATTCTTACCATCCCACTGTTTAAAGCCATCCTCTCCGACTGCTATCTGATCCGGCGGCTGAAATAACAGTGACCAGTAAAACACTGCAGCAAATGCCGTCATGTATATTTGAGCTAGACTGCTGATCTAGAATCAGGTCTCGGCCATCATAACCGGATGAATTCAACTCGACAGACGGGAGGAAGCTGATTTTGGATCAGCACTTTTGAGTTCTTAAATATGTTATATACACAGACCCTCATATCACAGCCTTATACAAGGAGCCAGATGAAAGTTTTATCAAATAAAATAGAGGAAAAGCAAACATATAGTCATTACTTTAAAGTTACTTCTTATTTAATCCATGCATGCAATACTACAACAGGCAAAAATAGGAAGCTACAATTAAAATAGCACAACAAAAAATATATTCATAAAAATCCCAACCGATTATTGAATTACTAACCTAAACATGAAAAGACTAGGGGAAAAGTTACAGCTAAAGTTTTTTTAATCAAAAGGAATGGTTAATTTTTTTTAGAGGCAACACCAAAATAAAAAAAAAATATATATAACATTTAGTTGAACTCACCTTGAAAAAGTCATCCTGGTGAACCACACAGCAGTTTGGTAAGGCTTTTATTAATCTGTCCGTCAGGGTGGTTTTACCACCATTAGTCACACTAAAAAATAAAAAAAGGAAGGTTAAAATGATAAACCCGAGCTGAAATTAGTCAAAAAGCCGAACGACTAAACTTATTTTAAGTTTGTTTAATCGTGTATATGAAAAATGTATTCAAGTAAAAATGGCGGTATGGTCCTCAGTTCCTTCCTTCAACTGGCTTATGACAACAAACTGACCCAGGCTTACATTGCTGCTAGTTATCCAAGTGTTCAATATAATCTCCTTCATTGTTAAATACACTCTAAAAAAATATATTAAACACAGCAACTTTGACGTCTGTACAGTCGCTTTCTTTAATATTTCGTCCTTAGTATTAAAGCCATTGGTGGTGAGGCACAAACTCATTACAATCACAAATAACATTAAATATGGCAACTCAACAAAAATTAATTTAAAAGCTGTTATTTTACTTCATACACAATGAAAAAAATAAAATTAATAGATGACTGGATATATTAAGGCGCGAATGTCCGTTAAAAACAAAGAAATTTCGGCGCGCTCACAATTTTAAATCTCCCGCTCAAAAACTCGCACGCTTCAAAGCTCTGAATTCTCTAAAAACACTCATCCCCGTCATGAATGAGAATAAAACACGGTAAGTAATAAATTACTACTTGTATAATATATTATCTTCATTTAAAAGTATTAAAAGCCATAAGGCTCGACTGTAACTATTACAACTAAGTTAGTTGTTCATAATATTACTGTAAAAAGATACTTACCCCCCTATTCCAATGATGTACTTCATTGTATCCGACCTGATTGGGTTTTACAATGTAGACGCCGCAAAACGGCTAAAATAAAAACGTACGATTAAAACTTCCGCTTCAAGCTAAATTTGCAGTTTTATCACCGCAGACACTAGTGCGATCATGAAATGTGAGAACAACAGAGTTGCACGTGGGGATATAACCAAAGTTGAACGTCACAGAAAAGGCGTGGCTTACGTGCTAGTCAGCCAATCGCTGTTCACGCAGGAAAGAACATGCTGTAACTGAATTCTCACGAATTCCACGATTCAGATAAACTGGTACAAATTAGCGCAATTAGAACAAATAAGAAAAAAAAAGCTGTTACATACTGGTGTAATGAGTTGATTCTCTTATATAACTATGAGCCATTCTTTGAAAACATTAAAATTAGCAACACTAAAAGAAACAAACTAAAAGAACATTTCCTGTAATACCAGCTGACAAGGACAGAGACGATTAGACGAGTGTTTTATGGATATCCTCAATGGACACTCAAATATTTAGGTAAGGGGTCAGAATAATCCTGCGGGATCCTTGCAGGGCTCATGGGGCAAAATCACGTGTTGGGGAAAGTTACTTTTAAAAGTAATGCATTACAATATTGCGTTACTCCATTAAAAAGTAACTAATTACGTTACTTAGTTACTTTTTATGGAAAGTAATGCGTTACGTTACTGTTGCGTTACTTTTTACATCTGGACAGGGCTTGCTTGTTTGTTTTTAAAATAAAAAAGTTATATTTTTGGCAAATATAAAAGCCTTTTCACACCAAAAGTGAAGTGAATAACCCTCAGGCTGAATTATTGCAGGTTTGCGTCATATTCTTGCATTATTTGTATTCATTTTGAGGAATACTGAATATGTTTTTTTTTTTGTGAGTGAGATGAATTAATGCATATTCATATTTATTTTAGAACTACAGTAACATCTTCTGATTTCTCTCAACATTGGGACAGGAGAGCTTTCAATCAATAAATTGGAGAAAAAAAAGTAACTCAGATATTCTCTTGTAAATTAAAAAGTAATGCGTTACTTTACTAGTTACTTGAAAAAGTAATCTGATTACGTAACTCGCGTTACTTGTAATGCGTTACCCCCAACACTGATTGTGGTGGGTTGGTACGGTTAATACATCACAGACGTACGCTTGTACCATGTGGGAAGGATATCTTGTACACTTTTACAGTGTAAAATATTTAATTCGTAATGTCTTTCAAGCATGTTAACTGCCTTTCAAGTGGTAATCAATATGAAATATTCATATACATTTGAATTTTGTTGACTAAAACTACAATATACAGGTGTACATGCTTATGGTCAAAGCAAAGCAGTGTCGAATTTATGGCTGTAGAATTGTTTCCCATTTCCAAGTGTCCATGACACCGAGGGTCATTCTTTATTTAGGTCAAAGAAAGTGTGACTCCGAGGTCACTGCTGGTATAATGGTCTCATACATACAGGAATAGTCTGTCACATCATGGAAATACGAAAATAACTCTTTCTTGTGACTGGATGGAAGACGTCTACACAACTCTTCCTTGAAATCTGGTGCTTGATTTGTTTGATAGGATATGTTGAGAGGTAAAGTTCCACCTTTTTTTTCTGAATTTAAGAAATAAATGTTTTTCTTACATAAATTAGCTTTCAGAACATAATATTATTAGTAAGTCAGATATAAACAGTGCTGGGTAGATTCCAATGTATATGACAAAAATTGTATTTAGTAACATAATCCATTACATACACATTTTAGATAATCAGATTACTTTTAGATTACTATTTTTGAACTTGTTTATCACATTTAAATAGGATAATATTGTACCATATAAAAATACAAAGAAAAAAATATATATTCCATTCATTGTAATAAACAAAATGAAATGCATTAAACATTACATTATGTCAAGGTTTCCCAAACGAGTTCATGAAGGAACTAAAGGGGGTTTATGAGCTTAATGAAAAAAGCTAATAATTAAATCATAAAAATGTAAAATTAAAATAAATATTTTAAAAATAACAACAATCAAAATAAAAACACTTACTAAAATATGATTAGGTAATCCAGATTACATGTAATCAGTTACTATTCAGCACTGGATATAAAGATCAAGAAAAGACAAAAGCAAATCAATATTGTAGTCATACATATAGCAGAATGTTTAATTTTGAACCAAACATAAGGCAACATAAAAGTACGGCTAATGTCTAAATGTTTTCAGAGATGACTGGCACTTATTATTTACAAAAGCTGGTCATTAAACAGATGAAAGGAGATAAAACAAATGATTCCAGGCAAACATAATCAGCGAAATGGAAAACAGTTACATTCGATTTGGGCGCATACACACAGAGAAGCACAGAGATGCTTGGAAATCAACATGCACCAGCAATCGAATCCTGAGCGGACACACCCGTCAATTAGAGGCAGGTTATACGACATTCTCAAGGGTCAGAAAGCAGGGAACAGCCTATTTAAAAAAGCGATAACTGCAAAGAGGCTACTGTGCATGATGGTCATCCTGCTACCGAAAACAGCGACATTTCTCTGTGCGTAGTGCCGTCTGTTGGTGGATTTGGAGATGCTTTTTTTAAAATTGTGCCTTTGCAGACGAAAGCGAGAGCAGCTGGCCTTCTCACCCTCCAACTTTTGATTAAAGTTTCCACTTTGTTGCTGATCTGAGACCAGTTTCGAGTCATCTGATATGCGTATTAATATATAATTTGGGAATATGAAAAATGGTCCAAGATCAGCAACAAAAAAAAAAATTCAAGCTCGTCCGCTCAGAGTCCAGGTTCTTCAATCGCTGTTGTCCTGGAGGCAGAGATTTGTTCAGTTATTTTATGCAGCAAAACTCAAACATGCATAATAATGCGTTTGGTTTGTTTGCTCAAGTCTCTGGATTGACGGGCTTCCGTTGCTGGTCTTGATGCTGCTGCTCTTTCTGTTCCTGCTCCATTCTACAAAGAGAACAGCATTCTGGGTAAATTGGGAGTTGCTGGTCTCTTCCAGTTTGTCAAAGCATTATCTAATAGGCGTCAAATAAGCCAATTTTGAGGAGTTTGGTGATTACCTCTCTTTTCTAGCGTTCATTCTTCCCTCTTCAAATCTGCAAAAAAGACAATTTGATCTTGTAAACTGGTAAAAAAAAAAAAGGGTAACATATTTTTGTATGTTTGAAATCTTCTTACTGTAAGACACACTCTGGGATCTGGATATGATCCATAGGAACAATCTTTTCCAGCTCTTCCAGACTGTGCACATAACGGATCTTATTCATGAACTTCACGCTGTAGAGGATAAAATATCATTGATGAGCCTTGCATAATGAACTGTAAATAATTATCCATGCACTTTTTGTTAATTTATGAGAATTTATTTCTATGTGGTAGGCTATAATGTTTTATATTTGTATTTTATATATTAAAAAACAACTAAAGTTATATGTTATATATATAATGCAATATATTCATCAGATTAATTGACCAATATTTTAGCTTTTTCAGTGACTTTTCAATAAGTACATGATTTTATTTAATCAATTTCAAATCTCATTTCCGTTCTCTTGTTGAATAATATGTTTACCTGATGAAGGGTTTGGAAATTGCGATGACAGTCCGGATAAACCAGGACGGATGAGCGATAATCAGAGATTTCAGGTTTTTCCTCAGTCTGAGGATGAAGATTGAAGATGTTTATCTCAATTTCTTAAAAAATCCATTTGCATAAAAGTGATGACTATGTCCATACCTTCTGTCGATCATCTGATAGCACTTCTTGAGCCAGCTAATGCCAGGCATCTTACTCCGCGGCGTTCCTCCGTTCATGAAGATGATCAGGTAATCCTCAGCCACCAGCATCTCCAGACTGCTCACCACATACCTGAGGAACAGACAGTGTGAATATGTGAAGAGAAGCCAAATAAGAAAATCAGATTGTACAGTCTGGCTTAGCTGTGCTTGCTAAGTCAAGTATTTTCATTTCCTCACAGAAAGAGGTTTTCCATCAGGTAATGGTAATCTGGGCAGCTGCTGTCAGGAAGGTAACAAGCCGTGAACACAATGATGGCATTCAAGCCTTCGCCATAGTACCCTAAAGAACAGAGAAGAAGCGACTTCAGGACACAGCAGAGATTATATAAACTGCATAAACATTGATTCTGAAGCGTGACATACCTCCATGCGATATGACGTGCAGATAGGGCTGTATGACCTGCATGTCGATCCGATGTTCCTGTTCACCAATGATCACGGTCCTCCACAAACGCCCGTTGACACCCTTCCCGTCCACACCTTCTCCATCAGCGTTGCTGTCAGCAGGAGGCGCTTTGGCTGAGGCGATGGGTGTATCATCTGAAAGCCATGGATCAATAAATGGAACAGCTATCTTCCTACCTACCGATCTAACTATCTACCTACTGTATCTACCGATTTTTCTATCGACCTACCTACATTTTCTTCTATCTTTTCTGTCTGTCTGTCTGTCTATCTATCTACCTGTCTGTCTGTCTGTCTGTCTGTCTGTCTGTCTATCTATCTATCTATCTATCTATC